GATTTAGAAAGACCTAAGTAGGCGGAAACAGGAATGTGTCTGAAGATTGGCAAGTTTTTACAATAAAGGAGGACAAAAAAAACTGATGAGGAAGAACACAATATGAATGCAATTTAGGAAAACCAAAAAGTGGATTGTGAAAGCTTCTGCAGGTACATAAAATGGAAACAATCGGCTCAGATAAAGGGAGGCTCATTAAAAGCAGAGCCGGGATAATTTATAATGGGGAGCTGAAGGAAATTAGTATTTGTGATCAAGGTTGTACTAGAGAAATTAATATGGTTGAAGGTTGATTGAGCCTCAGGACTTGATAATCAACATCCCAGAGTGTTGAAGGAAGTGGCCACAGAGATAGTATATGCATTGGTAATCATCATTCAAAACTCCAGAGATTCTGGAATGATTCTCACACATTGGGAGCTTGCAAATATCACCTCACTACTCAAGCAGCAAGGGGGAAAAAAACCCATAGGGAACTACAGTCCCATCAACCTTATATCAGTAGTAGAGGAAAAGATAAAAATCTAAAAATCTATCAAAGGAGATTATATATAGGCACTTGGATAAAAATTACCTGATTGGCATAGTCAGCATGGATTTTTGAATGGAAAATCATGTTTGACAAATTTGTTTTGAAGAGTTCATCAACAAAACTGATAATGGGGAGTAGAAAGGTTTGGATTTTCACAGTGCTTTTGATAGGCAAAGTTTCATTAGATTACAGATTGGCTACCAGACAGAAATCAGAAGAAATGAAATGTGTCATTCTCACATTGGCAGGCTGGCTAGTGGGATACTGCAAAGATCAGTACTTGGGCCACAGCAGCTCACAATCTGTAACAATCATTTGGAGGCAAGGATCAAACACAATATTACCGATTTGCAAAGCATTAGCAGGAATGCTGTCAGGAAGGCGCAAAACATTTTCAGGAGGATGTTGATAAGCTTAGTGAGTGGATGAAAATATGGTAGATGGAATATAATGTGGAAAAATGGCGTGTTACCCACTTTAGTAGGAAGAATAGACATGTAAAGTATTTCTTAAATGGTGAAACATTTGAAATAAATACAAAGGGTCTTGGGAGTCCTTGTTAATAATTCATTGAAAGCTAACATGCTGATGCGGTGAACTATCAGAAAGACTAATGGAATACTTCATCACAACAGGATTTTAAAACAGAAGTGGTGAAGTCTTGCTTCAATTGTGTAGGAGTTTGATTAGATCACACCTGGAATACTGTGTGCAAGTTTGGTCTCCTTATCTCAGAAAAGATATTAATTACCATAGACTGCACAACAAAGGTTCACCAGATTTTTCCCCTGGATGGCAGGACTGTCCCATGGAAAGACTAGACAATCTGAGTGTGTTTTCTAGAGTTTAAGAAAATAAAAGGTAACCTCACTCAAATCTACAAAATACTTAAGAGATGGACAGAGTAGATGCAAGTAAGATGTTTCCCTGGTTAGGAAGACGGCACAATTTAAAAATAATAGAAATGTCATGAAGGACAGAGATAAGGTGAACTGTTTTTACTCAGGTGGTGGATCTTTGAAATTCTTTACACCACAAGGCTAAGGAAGCTTAGTTTTTGTGTATATTTAAAGTAGAGGTATATAAATTATCAATGGTGTAAAGAGTTATGGGGACAGTGTGGTTAAAAGGCATTGAAGTGTACAATCAACCAGGATCATATTAAACGGCACAGCAGGCTCAACAGGCTACATGTCTACTCCTATGTTCCTAAACAGTAAGGTTTGTCAAAGACTGGAAAGAGAACTTGTGTGTAACATAGAAGTTGTGAACATGATTCTTAATCAAAATTTGAATCAGTCTACATTAAACGTGTTGATACATTGTCAGAGGAGGACAGTGTGAAATATTAGGTGGAATAATTATAGTGAGAGTGAGTGTAAGAGATTTTAGCATCTTTGACAATACATAAATCACTAGACCTGTATGAAATGCACCTCACATTGCTGAAAGCATGGGCAGAAATAAATGATAAATTTCTTTATAGTGGTTTCACTGGGGCTCAGTACTAACCCAATTGCTTTTCATGGTATGTATCAATAAGTTGAAGTTAAATGTACCAGACAGTCGTATAGCATGCAGATGATACAAAAATTGATTATGGTTGATAATGAAGAAAGTTGCAGACTGCAGAGAGATCAAAGTGCAGGTCAGGTGAACAAGGAAGCAGCAAATGGAAGTCTGTCCAAGGAAATGTCAGGTAATGCACTTGGGGAGGGCAAACAAGGTGAGGGAATATAAAAATCACTATTTGAACAAAGTGCAGTTTCAAATGTTAATTAGCAAATCACAGGAAAATTTGTCCAAGAGGCAGCAAAGTGGAGGGGAGAAATAAAAGTCATTACACAGCACAAAACATATAGCTAATCTGAAGAATTTGTGGCATAGAGATATTCACTTGCCAGAAGCAAAGAGGTGGAGAAACAAAATGGTACAGGGGTAGAATCACAGATTTGATTTTAACCTATTTGACCCAAAGAGAACACGACAGCCACGCAGTTAAATTTGTCTGGGAAAATGTATTGTTCCTATCGTCTGCAATTGAGGGAATCATCTATTACTGCTACCGTACTCAGTAAAACTGGTACATAATAAAACAAGGAGTCTTAAAGCAGGCATTAAATTTATCTTTCTGGAACACTCCTGTAACTCCATAAAAAAAAAGTCTGGGTTATTTTCCAGGTTCTCCTCACTATACACAAAAATTCTGAAACTCCCCACCTGGAACTTACTGGAGTGTTAGCTGATCTGCAGCTGCTGTCGGTTGATCAATTATTTCTTTGAAATCTATTTGACACTCAAGGATTAAAATAGCTTGGCCCTCAAAAATTAATGTCAGTGAATGAAGTCTGATTTTTAACCCTGTTTCTCTAAGTCAGTTCCCAGTTACAATGTTCCAATCACCTTTTATGCAATTATCGTTACCCATGTTAAGTTTATATGCCATTCCTTCTGCTGTAACAGAAAGTATTTGGGAGATAGGGAGAGAGAAAAAATTTTTTTTTGGTTTTTAGTTGAAGAAGGAATATGGATAAAGTTGGAAAGAATTTTCAAAATACAAGTTAGATAGATGTAGTTGAAGGCAATTGGAAACCTCTAAATTAAGAAAGATGATAACATTTGCTTCCAGACATGTAATTTTATATCCCTTTTTGCAATTAAAAGCACTTTCAAAGGAAATGTAACACTCGGCCATAAACATTTTCATTTAGTACCAGGGTCCTCCTTTAAACAAGTCTGGTTAGGACAATGGTTCTAATCAGGTCTTTCTTAGATGATTTTTATTTGGAGTTCAATGCTGAAATGAAATGTTGATTACTTCAATGATGAAAAAAATTAAACTTAGGGCTCAAAGAATCCAATATTATGTTGCTAAATAGTTTGTTGCAACATTTGACCAAAATACTCAAAGTTAGCAGCAAAAATCTACGAAGCAAACAAAATCTTGAAAACTATTGTGATTAAATAGAAAGTGGGTTCCAAAAGGAAGTTTCTGTTTGTAAATGAGAGCACTTGTGTTCCATACACCATTTCTTCATTAAAGCTCAGATATTAAAAATAATTAAAACGAGTTTCCTGCAGCCAGAGATTCTAGCTATTTCTGCTCTATGCTTGAGATTTGACTTCATTTTCTGCTTGATTTCTTCTGGTTTTGTTTTAAGAGAAAGTCCAAATAGCTCCAGGCATACAATAGCTTTCAGAGATTGACTTGTGTATCATTTCAGAACCTGGCTGATTTTCAGCTGTTACAGGCAATAATCAAAAGAGTCAACAGAGTGGCTCCAGTAAATCTGGTTTTGGTTTCCAAATACGAGGCCTTAAGATGAGCAAGTAAGCCTCCAGTGTACAGGAGATAAACATACTGGTGTTGTAATTCCACCAAAAAGAAAGATATTCATAAATTGTATAATGTATATTTTAAAATATTAAAAAAAGGTACCAAATGGGTTCTGTCTAAACAATTTAAAACTTTCGTGATTATAAACATGACCCATTTGGCAATTATCTATAACCAGAGGGTCATATCTTATTGTCCTAATATTTATTTATATTTCTGTAAATACAGATAGCAAACATCTCATGCTTACATTTGCTTCCTTCTTTTTCTATGGGAAGAGTAATGGTGATGGTTGGGAGTTGAACTTGTGAATGAACCCCTGCTGTATTTTATGAACTTTTTATCATTTCTGGGTACAGTTTCAACTGTCAGAAACTGGTAGCACTCATACAGGTGTAAAAGGTACTTCAACTGAACCCAATCACAACCAACCATTCTCAATGTCTGCAAATATCTATTTTCTATCAGACATTACAAGCAGATCGAAGAATGTGGCTGACTTTCCTCTTCCCTGTCTCATGAGTAAACAATGCCTTCTGTCCTTCTCCCATTAACATCAGTTAACTTAATACATGTTTGAACTGAATCAGTAATCTTGTGGTTTGTACACAAAGTGCTACACCAGTTGCTGCATTTATATATGACGACTAGGTCATTGGGGCAGGCATGACTGGAAAACACAATTTAATATCGTCAAGTCACACAGTCAGGAAAACTGGTAAAGTGACAATTGGAATGGCAGTTTAAACACTGATTTGTTGGTCAGTTACCTGGCATCTTCATATTTATATTCAGGTGTACTAATCTTGCCAGCATACATCTCAACACTTCTTCAAAGTCTGAATGCGTGAACTCTTTTAATCAGTTTTGGGATATGCACACTAATACTAAAGTGTTAAAAAACAAAATGCACCAATCTTTCACCTGTAAAACTAAAGTGCAGAAAGTGAATCGTTTACTGATTTGATTAGTTCTTTGTCAACTCAATGCACTCAGTCATACAAAAACTTCCTGCTACAGCAGTAAGCCCACACTGCTTTGTATACAAGCCGTACATCCTCCAAAGTTGTTACAACAACTAGACAATACTAAGAAAGAACTATCAAGATTTTTCAACTATTGCTCATTAAATAAAGTTTCATGATCAGTGTTTTTAATTAGAATGTGTGGTTGCTGACAAACTGACATTTTAAATTTAACTTCCCAAAGAAAACAGTCAGAATTACAGTGGTTACAGACCAGTAACTGTACAACTTTGGTAAAGATCAACATTCTTTGAATTTGCAATATGATGGGGGCCAATGAAGTCTTAACAATAATTGACAGAACTTAAACAGCTCATCCTCAAGTTCTAATATTCTCTAAAATCTTAAAACATCAAAATTAAAATGCACTCTTCTTTTGTAGACACTCTGCATTAAAAAAAGCAAAGATATTTTAATACAATACTCTCATCTGGCTAAAGCATGACCACTGACAAAACTGTTTTTTGAAACAGGCATTGTAGAATTTGAAACAAATCAGGGGCTCAAGACCCTCAATCAATTTGTTTTAAGGTTACATGTTTGATCATTTTAAAAAGGACCTAATGTTGTATAATATTAATGTAAAAAAAAAACTGCCCTATTACATAGTCCACAAAACACACTGAATTGAGACCCTAATTCAAATAAGGCAAAACAGTTACTTAAAAGGATTTTGGGTTTCACCCCCACACTCCCTGCAAAATAAAACCTGTTCCCTGTAATTACAAATATTCTGCCAATTCATTCCTTATTCCCTGAATAAAGACAATGCTGTTGTATCTGGTCATCACTCTTCTTGGGTTTTAAAAAATGCTGGAAGTCTTTAGCGTGGCTTTCCCTTACATTTTTCAACAATATCAACCCTTGCAAGTTTGACTGGTGTTACAAGCATCTTCAAATTTTGACCATACACAGTGAACACAGACAACTAAAACTTAAACCAGCAAAGAGGTATCACTTAATAGTTCAGTAACAAATCTGTGTCTTGCATGACCCATTATGTCATAATCATCAACCTTTTCCATGTGAATTTCCTATCTACTGTCAGAGATCAATAGTTTATTGTTTAAGCTACAATAACAAAGCTCATCAAGAGTTCCGACTAGACTTATGCAAATAAAAGACTGTTGCATTTAAAACCTGTAATAGGAATGCTTGTCCCATTCCCCTCCCCTCCCCTTCATCCCAACCCATTCCCCTTTTCAATTCAATGAGAAGCAGCTCATTTCCATCGGAGACAAATGTCGATAGAATTGATAACCATGAGTTTATGTGGCGTATTTCTTGGTCCACTGTCTTGCTATTCTGTCATGTTCAGCCCTGTTAGTCATATACTGCGTGGCTATGCTCCCAACCAAAGGGTCCGCTGCAACAAAACAGAAAATATTGGTCAATGTACTATTGGAGAATATATGAATTACAACATTGCAATTTTTTGCCTAACACACATTTGTCCCACATTATAGACTTGAAGTAGTGGCTTATAGCTGAACAATTCTAAACAAATAGCAGTGATCATTTAATAGCTTTACATTTGATTGCTCTTCAACTGTGTGACCAATCACAAAGTTCAACTGTGTCCTCATTAAATGTGCACAGCAATACATATCCATCTGAGTAGCAACCCAGGGGAGAAACCTGAAGTGATATTTTCTTCCCTTGTAAAATGACATGGAGCCTATTAGTGCAGTTCAGTTATTCCAGCAGAGATACAGTCATATCAACTAAATATGATTGCACAAATGAAAATAAATGACATTGAATCTCACTGGAATACTCTGTAGTTAGTTAGGTTTTAATACTTGTGTAAAATTTGCCTAATAAAAATTTCTGATATTTTAAACAAGCTATAAAGCCTTACATCAGTAGATATGTCACTGTAATAAAATAATTTTTACTACTTGTTAGATGAACGCCAATCCATATTTTGTTGCAATGTATTCCCTTTTTCTTCTGAAGACTTTATCTTGTATATGCATCACACATCAATACTCAAAGAGATCTGTTTTTCTGACATCTGGCAATGTTGTGCCTTTAAACACAGGATGTCTGGCTTTTCAATTCTCCTTTTCTACTGCAACCTGCCCTTTAGCAAAGAATGGTAATTCACCGTACAGGAAATCAGTTACAAACCTGCATTAAAGCATACACCCACCTAACATGAACACTACAGCACACTGGCTTCTTTGCTCTCTAAGAGTCTATTGTTCAGTATTTATAAAGGCATAAAGAGAACAATGTTGTTTTTTTTCCCATTAACTTTAACAGAGAAGAAATTAAAATCTCTCCTCAAGAAACCAAATAGATGGGATAGTCTGACATAATTCGCTGATGGATCATATGGCCTTGCCTCAACTGTTCAGCACCTCCAGTCCTCCCCCCGCCACCCATTCCCATTATCAAGTAACCCACAACCACTCATAAGACGACTATACACTAATTCCTCTTACCAGGATTGCAATCTGTTAGAAGAGAACAAATTGACAGGAGAACCTTGGAGATGGTCAGTGCTGGGCTCCAGTTGTCCTTCAGGATATCCAAACAAATCACACCTTGACTGTTGATATTGCAATGATAGATTCTTGTTCTGAAAGTCACCTGTCAATTTCAGTTTAAAATTAACATGCATACTTGAAAAAAAAACCTGTTCCAATAAAACATACTCCTCATAGTATAATACCAAAACATATTTCTAGTACAATAAAACATTACGTACATGTGCCTTGACAGTAAGTAACTGAGTTGACTACAGTTGAGAGATAAACAGGAATTCATATAGATGATTTTCTCATCTGTCTGAACTCCTGTTAGTGGACGTAACACAGTACAATGGCAAATACTGTTAGTCACAAATCAAAAGCAATCCTATCATACACAGCTAATAATCATTTGTGATTTGATCATGCGTTGAACTTTTTTCACAGCCCGACATGGTAAATCACATTACAAATTGGGTGGTTTTGTATAACAACCATTAACTACTCTTAAAACAAAGGGGCAAAAAATCTAAAGGGCCGTAAATCAGCAATGCCACTACTGTTTGTGTTTTGGGGATGTCAATCTAACTTCCCTTTCATGATCACAACAGGCTTAAGTCTTTCACCTTGTTTCCTCCCACCTACTCCATTGCATGATCCTTGTATGTTTACAATAAATGCAATTAAAAAATTTGGTGTTATTTATTGACAGTTTATAATGCATTCAAGAGGTTTTGGGCTTAGGCTTCCCCTCACATTGTAATTAATTAACATTTAGTTTTATATTATTAGTGTTAAATATGAACAGTACAACATTAATATGCTACAATGCAAATCAACTTCTAAGCTGCTCAGACATTAATGAAAGTTCAAGTTTGATTTTCAGCAACTCAAATAAATCTTAATTTTGTAGCTTTCAACATGGTGACATATATCGTGGTATTTAGAAAAACACAGCCACACTCCAAATCCCATCAATATTGCATAAAGATGCATTAAATTCTTGTTACAACAGCACTTGGAAAACAATTAATCCTAGGCAGCATTATAACAAAGGTCTCAACAACTGAGGCTGACAGAATCATACACTGTTTTCTCAAGAGCAGTATTCAAATTTAGTGCCTTGCTCCAAACTGCAAGTTAAATTCAATGCCAGAATATATCAATTATTCTAATCTTATTGTACTTTTAATTTAGTTTTTCAATTAAATTATATCCTCTCACTATTCAAATAATCTTATTAAATGGAGTGGAGAACATCTGTAATATCTGGAGGACCACAGAATGTTAAATAATCTCGTAGCTCCTTTCAATAGCAACTGTTTGCTTCAGAACAGCGTTTCATACAAAGTTAAAATTTATCACAAGTGCACTGAATGGCCTAGCAGGTTATAGTGTGGAGTGAACTGGGAATGAAATTTAGCAGAAAAGACAGTTGAGGAACAACTGCAGATGTTTTAAAAAATCATTCATGATTCACATCAAAGATATTTCCCAAACAGAAAGGAGGATTCTTGGAAGGGGATAAACTGACCATAGATAGCTAAGCAAGTTAAGGACAGTATCAAATTGAAAGATGAAACATACAATGTGCCAAAGATTAATGGTCAAAACAGGATTGGGAAAGCTTCAAAAACAAACAAAAAGAGAAAAATAAGCTAGGAGGGCAAGCTAGAAAGTAATAAAAAGCACAAGAAGCAAGAGCTTTTTGAAAAAAAAATGAAAAGAGAGAGGCCACAGTGAACGCAGGCCTCTTAGAGAATAAGGCTGCAAAAATAATAATAAGCTAGGAAATGGAAGAGTTGAATAAATACTTTGTATCAGTCTTTATAATTGAGGACACTAACAGCATTCCAGAATACTAAATAATTAAGGTGTTGAGAAGAAAATAATTATTAGCAAAAATGTACCTTGGAAGCTAATGGGACTAAAGGCAGGTAAGTCCCTGGACCTGATGGATTGTATTGTAGGAATTTAAAGGAATTAGTTATAGAGATAGTGTATACACTGGTAGTAATCCTCCAAGAATCCTTTGATTTTGGGAAAAGTCCCAGAAAATTAGAAAACAGCAAGTGTAACACATCATTTCAAAAAGGGTGGGAGACCAAAAAAAAAGGCAACTATAGGCCCAACAGTTTAACATTAGTCATTGGGAAAATGTATATATCTATTATTAAAGGATGTAAACAAGAGCATTTAGAAATACAGAATATAAATAAATATAAATAAGCAGAGTCAGCATCATTTCAAGAAGAGTAAATTATGCCTGATAAATTTATTAGAATTCTTGTAAGAAGTAACAAATAGGATAAAAAAGGAACCAGTAGATGTAATATATTTGTATTTCCAAAAACTGTTTGATAAAGGTAGCACAGGAAAAGCTGCTGTATAAAGAGCCTATAGTGTTAAGGTTGGGGAGACGATGGCCTAGTGGTATTATCGCTGGACTGTTAATCCAGAGGCTCAGATAATGTTCTGGGGACCCGGGTTCAAATCCCACCACAGCAGCTGGTGGAATTTGAATTTAATAAATATCTGGAACTAAGAGTCCAATGATGTCCATGAATCCATTGTCGATTGTTGGAAAATCCCATCTGGTTCACTAATGTCCTTTAGGGAAGGAAACTGCCATCCTTACCTGGTCTGGCCGACATGTGACTCCAGACCTACAGCAGTGTGGTTGATTTGTAACTACCCTCTGGGCAATTAGGGATGGGCAATGAATGCTGCCTAGCCAGCGACACCCTCATCCCATGAATGAATAAAGAATAAGGTTATATATTAGTCTGGACAAAGGACTGGTGAACTATTAGATGAGAGAGTTGGGACAAGGGGAGCATTTTCAGGATGGTGACCTGTAACTAGTGATGTGCCACAGAGATCAATTCTGGGGCGACAATTATTTACTATATATATTAATGGCCTGGATGAGGGAAGTGAATGTGCTATCACCAAGTTTGTGGATGACACAAAAATGGGTGGGAAGGCAAGTGGTGTGGATGATACAAAGTCTGCAGAGTGATATAGACAGGTTACATGAGTGAGCAAAAACTTCGGCGACAGAATATAAATGTACAAAAATGAGTTTATTCACTTTGGCCTGAAGAAAACAAGACCTGAATATTATTTGAACAGTGAAAACCTGCAGAAGGCTGCATCACAGAGGGATTTAGGGATACCTGTCATGAATCACAAAAAAGCTAGCGTATGAGTTCATTGGGTAACAGGGAAGGAATATGGAATGCTGACTTTTGTTTCAAAGGGAATGGAGTCTAAAAACAAGTATTGATGAAACTATGTAAGGCACTACTCAGAGCAGACTCAAATTGTGGACAGTTCTGGTTCCCTTGAATAACGAAGGATATTCTGGCATTGAAGGCAGTCCTAAGAAGATTCATTACAATGAACCCAGATATGGAAGGACTTATGAGAATAAGTTGAGTAGATTGGTCCTGTACTCATTGAACTTTAAAAGAATGAGAGGAGACCTTATTGAAAAAAAAAGGATACTTTGGGGGCTGGAAAAATTGTTCCCCTTGTGGGGGAATCTAGAACCAGAGGGCATAATCTCAGAGTAAAGGATTGCCCTTTTAAGAGAAGAGAAGGAATAGTTTCCCTCAGAGTAATCTGGTGAATTCTTTACTGCAGAGGTCTGTTGAGGCTGTGTCGTTAAGTATATTCATCAAGGTTAAGATAGATATATTTCTGAGCAGTAAGGGAATAAACCATCAAGGCGCAGGAAAACAAGATGAGGATTATCAGTTCTGCCCAGATCTCATTGAATGGTGATATTCAGGCTCGATGAGGTGAATAGCTTACTGCTGTTCCTCTGATGTATGATCTAAAGACATCATCTGATATAGCACTGTGTCTTAGAGACTGAGAATGTTGTTTGTGCGATTTAAAATCTGTGCTGTTACAACTGGTCTTAGTTAAGATGTACATGTCAATAATGATAAAATGAATTTTATGCCTCTTTTTGGGTAAGGATGAAGGGGACACGTATGAACAAATTAAAAATAAACCAGCTATTTTTAAATTGTGATTACAACCTAGCATGTTGAAAAGGGTGGTATAAACATTTATTAAGTTTGGCTGTGATGACCTCCCAGAACCAAATAGTGATTGGGCATCCACTACTAATGACTCTCACAAGGTAAATGGCCAGTTAGTCATGTCACAAGCAAATGCCAAACATTCGCTAAATCGTACCTCTGTATGACTGTATCCTCATAATAGGAGGGAAGCAACAAACAAGAAAAAAAACACTAAATAGTGGAAAATTCTCTCTACAAATTATTCTTCAGGTAGTTGTAATTATCATTTCGTCAATGCATTAGAGCAAGTGAAATGGTATTGCTAACTCTGAACCCGAAATGTTAACTGGGCTAATCTTTAAGTGCTTAAACCCCTGTGCCAAAATGATGATGCTTGGATATTGGAATTCAGAGTAAAATCTGAAAGTTTGCTCATTATTCTAAACTTGGAAGTATGTCAGACTGCGAGGGTGATGTCACTGGCTTGCAGCCAGACAAAGGAAAGCTAACAACAGAGAGACATGTGAGACGATACAGCCCAGTATAAGTGATATAGAGAACTTTGCCATTGAGACTATGCTGCTTCTAAGAAAATTGAGTGTTCATGTTCATAGATTTTTGAAGCAGCAGGACACAAGGGAATAATAAGAAAAGCGTGATGCATCCTAGGTTCATAAATAGAAGCACTGAGTACAAAAGTAGGATGGCTATGCTGAACCTTTATAAAACCCTGGTTAAGCCATAACTAGAGTACTATATCCATTTCTAATGCTACAAAACACTGCAAAGTACTAAGAAACCCAAGAATGTTAATGACACTAACACTGCATCAAAGTTAAACTTCTTCACAAACATTTTATTATCCCTCAACTAGACTCCTTGAAGTGGAAAAGGATCCTCTCTTGATAAGAGAAACCGATATAAGTAGCAAGATTGTTGGTGCCTTAAGTTAATATGTGTCACCCACTGTCAGCAGTGGTGTACATTATGTAAAATCTCATCACTAAATGAATCAGATAAATACATATGAATCACCAGGAGTTGACTATTCAGCTCTTCAAGCCTGCTCCGCTATTCGATAAAACCATGGCTGATCTGATCATGAATTTAATTCTATTTTCTTGTTTAACCCATAATCTTAGATGCTTATTAACAAGGAAGCCAACCAAACATAAAAATCATGTATGGAGAAACTCAGCAGATCTGGCAGTAGCTGTGGAGAGAAAAACAAGGTTAACATTCGAGTGTGATATTAATCTTCTCTGGAACTGAAAAGTGCTAGAAAATAACGGTTATTAGTGTTGACAAAAGTAGAGGGGGAGTGAGTGGAAAATGATGATGAGAGTGCCCAAAGCAAATGTTAAAGGAAGTGCTAATGGTAGGTGCAATTTGTCCCAAAAGATTGACTTTGCCGAGTGTGAACTAGTGTAAGTCGGATACACGGTGGGATGGGATGTAATCAAGATCAAGGACATGTCAAAGTTCTTAAAACGTCAAACTCAATATTGAGTCCTGAAGGCTGTAAGGTGCCAGAAAGTTAAGTGCTGTTCTTCCAGCTTGCATTGGGCTTTGCTGGAGCCTTGCAGCAGGCCTGAGATAGAAATATTTGCATGACAGCAATTTGGTGTATTGAAACGGCAAGCACATGGAAGGCCAGGGCCATTCTTAGTGACAGAGTAGAAGCTTTTCGCAAAAGCAGTCCTCCAGCCCGAGTGCGGTCGCTCATCTACCAATGTAGAATAGACGATATTACGAAAAGTGAATCAGAAGACTAGATTGAAAAGAACAGGGGGTTCTCTATATACGAATCTCTGACCTAGTAATCCTTGTACTTATAAATGCGATTCATACAGAGGTGTAATTTTAAAGACTCAACATAAGAACATTTCCTGTACGTAAGAACAGCTGTTTTACATTGTCCTGCATTGTGTTTCAACTTGCCTACATATCAAATTGGGAACAGACTCCACACTGGAACCTACTCATAACCCAGGAACTGCCTGTACAATAAAACTTCTGCTTCACCCGTAAGGTACATTTGGGGCCTTGCACAGGAAGAAGGGAGGAAGTAAATGGGAAGTGTTACACTTTCTGCTTTTGCATGAGAAGGCGAGCAAGTGTTAGGAGTGGCTGAGGAGCGAACCTGGGTATCACAGAGGGAATGAAATGCTGACAAGAAAGGGAAGGAGATGATACTTTTTTTTGGGGGCATCCTGCTAGAGGTGGCAGAAAATGATCCTTTCAATTTTAAGGCTGTGGGGGTGGAAGGCAAGGACAGGAGGAACCATATTGTTGATCTGGGAGAGAAGGGAGGGGACCAAGGCAAAAGTGCCAGAAATGGATCAGGCATGGCTAAGGGTCCTGTCAACCACTGGGAGGACAAGCAATATCAGTAATGGAATGAAATGAAATGAAATCCTTACAGGAAGTAGGCATGAGAAAGTGCAGTTAAGCTAAATGTGGGAGTTGGTTGCTTTGGAATATATATCGATGGCCAGTATTTTCCAGAAATAGAAACAAAGATCTAGGAAGGAAAGGCAAGAGTCAGAAACTGGCCAAATGAATCTAAAACGAAATTCAAAGACTTTGCTTCCTCTGCTGTTTGGGAAATTCCACACTATGAGAGAAACTAACAAAAGAAAAGAAATCAAACACAATGAAAAGTGATTCATACAGCACAGCCTTTAGAAATGACCAGGGACCAATTTTCAGTTATTATAGCATCAAGTTATAAATAAATTAACAGTACTTTAAAACTTGTAAACAGAACAGAAACCTATGAAGCGTTCTATTAAATAAGGTCTCTTACCTTGGGTGGTTTAAAAGGATATTCTGCTGAAAATACAATGTCCAGAAAGAATACGCCACCTTCATAAACTGACCCTGGAGGCCCCAGAATTGTTGACCTCCACTCATAAACATTATCGCCTTTTGGTCCAGCACTGAACAATGTTTGTAAAAAGAAATTGTAACAGATTTTAAAATACATGATCAATATTTAAGTTAAATTTCTGACATATTCATAAAATGTATGAACAATAAATAATTGGTTATTTTCATTTTGCATAAACAGGAATCATACAGCTTATGTAATTTTTATATTATTTGTACACAGGATGTGGGTATCTACGGCTAGGACAGCATCAATTGCTCACCCTGAATTACCCTTGAGAAATTGGTGGTAAGCCATCTTCCTGTACTGCTACAGTCCATATGTTGGAGATGTATTTAAAGATTTCCAGGATGTTAACTCAGGGACTTAAGCTTAATGTTAAAAAAAAGTACCTGGGGGAAACAAATTTCTGTTCAACATTGAAGCTTTAAATTTTATAATGCCATGGAAAAGAAAGGGAGAGTGGGGGCGGGAGGGGGTGGGTTGAAGAGAGATGAGGGGAGAAAGAGATGGTGGAGAAGAGACAGAGATTTCTATTCAATTTATTAAGGTACCAGTAGAAAGTGAGTGACTCCTTCTGAACGCAGAGGAAAAGATCAATTTATTGTAATTTGTATTATGTCTTCCAGTTTTATCATAGAATTCTGTATAGATTTATATCATAGCAAAAGATGAAGGCATGCATCATCAGAACACTTAGATCGAAGATAATATTCTGAAAACAAAAATCTTTATTTAAACTGTGAAGCCCAACTTCAAAATGGAGAGTAGGATTATGAAAACAGAAAAACTAGCACATAAATCAGGACAAAAGCATGGATAAAAGTTGCTTAAAATGAATGTGAGGGAAAAAAAAGGGCCAGGGAGAATGCATTGCAATTTTTATTCCATAGTCTGTTGTATAGGTAATAACAATAATAAAGCTACTCCTGACATCTAAAGAGATCTGTTAAGAGAATCATAATGATTTAACACTAAAGTGTAAGAGCTGAAAATTGAATGGTTAGCCTAAACTGACCAACATTCTTCCTTAGTCTTTTCTCCAGTGAAAAGGGTTTAAGTACTCCCATTTCTTCACAACTCAGTCAAATGAATGATCCTAGTCACCATTCCCTGAACCCCAACACACCCTTTCAATCTTCAAAAGGTCATTATGGATGATGAAGGCCATTCAGTTCATTTTAATTAATTCTTCTAGGAGGATCCTGAAGTCTTTTCCCCATTCCCCTCACATGGCATCAAATTACTCAAGTGATTCCAAATTTTTACAGAAAGTCAAAGGCTCAAAATTATAGAAAGTGTAGAGTTAATCTGGCCACTGCAGTTTAGAGGCATTTAGCCAATAATTTAAGAACATTAAGTATCAATTACTTCCACCAAAAACATAGAAAGTTGTCAATAAATGAGAGGTAAGCTAACTTCTTGGTGACAAACAGTTTCTTTTTTTACAGTTGGTTACTGGCTGGTTCTGTAGTTATTGCATGATTTATGTTTCAAATTGACTATCCACAACCTTTCCTTAGTCAATTGCCTTCATGTTTTCCCTTGGAGACCAGTCAAAGTCATCATGGTAGACGGCCTCAGTGCCTGAATCTTGGTTTTGAAAACTATCAATTCCTTTTTTTAATCTCAGCATGCACTTTTATTTCCTTTGCCAGAACTCAAAAAAGTTTGTTTTGGCATCTTCCAGTTTATATTTGCCAAACTGCACAAAGACACACAAAAATAATTTCCATTTTATCGTACATTCTCGACATTTCAATTTCCTGCTTCATATGTCCCTGAGAAATTGAACTATAGTTGTAAATATATATTTCTGATAGCTGCAACTGGAACAGCAGATGTGAGAAACAGGCAAGTTTAAACATTTTATTGAAGAGATATCTGAAGATCTAAAAATGATCTTAAAAATGGTTATAATACTTAAGCTCTGATAGCATTCCAGAATGAACCTACTGCAAAATGCAATGTGAATTTTCCAAAGTACTCTAAGAGACCCAGTCCTTTCTTATAATTACGTGAAGAAAACATATTATTATTTTATTAGTACACTGATCAGTCTCTTATGTTGCCGTACACAGGTTATCTAATTTTAATTTTTCTGGCCAAGCAGCGTTGAAGGATGGACGATAATGCAGGCAGTATGAAGGGACAGGGGAATGAAACAAGGACAGCAATACTGCAGGAAAAATTCAGATCCAAAGCTTGGATGATTTTTTCTCTCTTCCATTTGGAGTGCAATTCATGACACTGTTGACAGTGAACTAAACCTCTAAACCTCACCCACCTCGAAATGTTTCATCAATGCTAGTTCAAATTGGCCTCCAGGGAGTACACTAACATTGTCCTGTGCAAGGCCCTATTGTCTCAAAATAAAATTTAATCAATCACCTGCAGTGATCAAATGGAAGGGACAAGATCTAATTAGACAATTACTGCACCACTTAGCACGTGCATTTCCTGATGTCTTAGGTCAGGAAATTAGCATGCAGAAGAAATCACAGATGCAAAATCACATCACACTTCTTAAAATTTGGAGTTTACGCTCCACTTTTCCAATGACTAATAATATGCGTTTGTTTATAAATGTGATCAATTCTTTTAGGCAAATATTAATTTTCACCTTTCTTGCAATTTGAAAGTAATTTTAGCAAAATTTACATCGGTACAGGATAATTGCCAAAGTACACAAATCAAACCACTAACTATTCAATGAATAGAACTGAACCAAATTGAACAACTACATTATCGCACTTGGATCTTTCAAATTTTAAAGCTTAAATAAAAACAGAATTATTTAGTTCAGACATTTATAAAATGAGTAGTGGCTTTAGAAGTACAAGATACAGGAACAGGGCAAGGCCATTCAACCCATCAAATCAGCTCTGCCATTCAATGAGATCATGGTGTATCTGATAAATCAAAACTTCACTTTCCTGCATTTCCCCATAACCAATGATTTCCATTACAGATAAAAAGTCTGCCTATCTCAACCGTGAATATACATAACAGGTCAGCCTTAGCAAAGAATTTCACAGATTCACTACTCTAAGAAAAGAAATTCCTCCTCATCTCTGTCTTAAACGTGTGACCCCTTATTCTGAGGTGGTCTCTTCTGGTCCAAGTTTCTCCCAAAGGGGAAACAACCTATCCACCTATACCCTAAGAATCTTGTATGTTTCAGTAAGATTGCCTCTCCTTTATCTAAATTCCAAAGAATACTGGCCCAACCTTTTGAACCACTCCTCATAAGACAGTCCCTCCATAGCTAGTATCAGCTAAGTGTACCTCCTCTGGACTGCCTGCAGTGCTGATATATCTTAGTTTTTAAATATGCAACAACTCTGTGATGCTGTCATTAAAATCACATCTACACGACAAATTCAAAATAAAATCAAAAATAACAGCATTTTAAAAAGGAGGAAGACAGACAAAGGTAGTGACCACATTCAAATCTAATGAAATGGAAAAATAAATCTATGCTTTCTGACATACCAGTGAATCTGCACACCTGTTTCGCTGATTGATTTCTCAAGACATCGGCGTTTGTCTCAGAAAAATTAACAAACAGCGAAATTCACAGCTGACCTTAGAGAAACCTGTGTGGGAGAACACACAGCAGGGGAGCAGCTAAGTGGCTTTTTAAAAAGTAACCTGTTTATTTTTGTAAATCTACAATAGTGAGTAGAGTGGGTTTTTTTTGATCATGTGTTTTATGGAGATTGGTTTCTTGATTAAACTTTAAAAATATAAAACACAGGTACTAAGTTAGCCTGAAGCAGTGTTTTTTTACAGCAGTAGGACTGTTATTTTCTGGGTGTGTAGATTGTTACCTTGCAAATATGGCCTTTAGTAGAGTGATGTGCTCTTCCTGTCGGATGTGGGAGATTAAGGAGAGGTTCCATGTTACTAACGATTAAATCTGCAGGAAGTGTGTTTGGTTGCGCATCTTATTGGATCACATGGATTGGTTGGAGCAGCAATTAGAGGCAATGAGGAATTTACAGGAGCAAGGGATGGAGATAAACCGAGGATCCAGTAAGGTCAATGGGTTACCTCCAGGAAAGGGAGGCAGGTTGTGCAGGAGTCACCTGTGGCTATCCCATCTCAAACAAGTATGCTGTTCTGGAAAATGTAGAGGGTGATGGACTCTCAGAGGAATATAGCACTGACAGCCAGGTTTCTGGTTCCTAGACTGGCTCTAACGCAACGACAGGTACATCAGGTTCCAAGCAATCGATTGTGACTGGGGACTCTGAGGCACAGACAGACATTTCTGTGGCCGACAGTAAGACATCAGAATTGTGTTGCCTCCCTGGTGCCAGGATGAAGGATATCTCTGACAAGGCGCAAAATATTTTCAAAGGGGAGAGGTCCAAGCAGGAGGTAGTTGTACACATTGGAACTAATGACATAGGAACAGAAAAGGATAAGATTCTGAGGAGAGAATATAGGAAGTTAGGCAGGAAGTTAAAAAGGATTTCCTTGAGGGTAGTAATACCTGGATTACTCCCACTGCCACGAGCTAGGTGAGGGTAGGAATAGGAGGATACAGCAGATGAATGAATGGCTAAGGAGCTGGTGCAGGGGAGAAGGATCCACATTTTTGTATTATTGGAATCTCTTTTGGGGTAGAAATTACCTGTATAAGAATGACGGATTGCACCTGAATTGGAAGGGCACTAATATACTGGTGGGGAGGATTTAAACTAGACAGTGGGTGGTGGGAACCCAGGGGAGATAGGGAGAAAAGAGATCAGTCCGAGATTGGTACCGTTGGGAAAAGGAGCAAGTCAAACAGTCCGGAACAAAGCAGAGAACAAGGTAGGACTGATAAATTAAACTGCATTTATTTCAGGAAGCCCAACAGGTAAGGCAGATGAACTCGGAGCATGGACAGGAAACTTAATGTTCCAGGGTATAGATGCTATAGGAAGGATAGAAAGAGGGGTAAGAGAGAGGTGGAGAGTGGCGTTTTTGATTAGGGATAACAATATAACTGTACGTAGGGAGGATATTCCTGGGAATGTGTCCAGGAAAGTTATTTAT